TATGGCCCAGAGAGACAAAGTTTGTGCTTGTGTGTGAGACTAAGAGACTCATTCTCAGTATGCATGAGCGAAGGAGGTTGAATGACAAGGCTAATGCGGAAAGAAGTCATCTCAGAAGTAAGGGTTGAAAAAAAAAAAATGAAGCCATGGGCTCATATAAAAGGATAAAAGTGAATGGCATCCCATGAGATCATTCATGGAAAAGACAGCAAAAGAACACCATATCACAGTCCTGGGACTTTAAAGCTTCCCTTTATGCAATTTTGAGAAAAAAAAAGTCATCAACCGAGATGTTCTGGAGTTAGTACATAATCTCTTGCATGATAGATCACGAATGTATGTGCACATTTATTGAATGTGAGTACTTAAACTAAACCCATTTTAATGATTCTCTCAATGAGGCGAGCCAAAATTTTCAGGACACTTATGGAGACCTTCTCTGTTTACATATTTTCTTTCTCTCTATCAGAAATAATGGAAATAGAACTGTATCTGGGTCTGAAGAGTCATACAAGCACATAAAAAGAGTCTTGTTCTTTAATGTAGCTAATTTAACACGACAAAGTCAGAATCTCAGCCGTTGAGAAAGTGACGAGAAAATGGAAAGGGGTTTGCTGATGGTGACTTGACTTAATGTATGACTTTTTTTGCAGTTGTTAGTGTACCACAGGTAACCTGACACAATGATGAATGTGCTGAAGCAGATGACAATATGTGCCTGAGAGATGAGTTTCTTAACATCAACTAAACACATCTGAACATTCGCTGCTTTTCAAATCTTCTGATTTTGCTTACATGGCCAAATATACGGGTTAGAATTGCCTTATTTTGGTTTTCAAAAACCTGAATATGAGCATATTCACATTTTTGCTCGTTTATATGGCCTTCGAAAATCAGATTATCACCAACGATTGCACTTTGGAAGGGTTATTATTGTCTGCACATAAACGGAGTAGAGGAGAAAGTACTGTACATTCTACTTCCCGTTTTCAGGCCGCCCTCTCTTAAGTCACTCACACCCTCCTTCGGTTTCTTCAAGCCATGCTTCCTGCCTACCCCCAACTCCCTCCCAGCTCTTGTGAACTTACATTTAATTTCCTTCAAGCCTCCCATAGAGGTTTCTAATTCTCTCCATCTCAGCTTCCCCGCACTCAAGTCTCCCTCTCTCCACTCCATTTCTACAACTCCCGCCCCTGCCTCCATCTTGCTGGCTCTCACCCTCGCTAATCCTGCTTGCAGACGTGTGTGATTTTCAGAGAGGATTTGTGTTTTCAAGGTTTCACTGAGTTGCAGCACATGCATATTCGGATTTGTTTCAATCAACCGACAAGAGAATTGCTGTTGTTCTGTTGTTCCGATGCACAGTGACTAATTTAACTTAATTCAGCTCACCAAATACTCTTGTTTCAAATGCTTCATTCCTGTTTTTGCACAATGGCAAGCAAGGGTTTTAGCAATAAAACTATATATTATTACGGTGACAAACTATTTCGTTAACATTCAAAAATTTGAGAACAGACTGAATGTATGTAAAGATGGTCAATGGAGGTTGACATTTGTGAAAGCAAGAGAGATCTGAAATGCATTGAGTTGGGACATTGCAGTGCAGGCATCTTTCAACAAAATAAAAGAGCTGTGCATCCCTCTAGTGGCTGCAATGACAACATCCACAATAGGAGGGAACTTAGTAAATATTACCAATTGCACAGAGTACCTGTAGCTATGTAGACAGATCACTTGCTGTCCTCAGAAGAGCGCATAAAAAAATGAAATGCGATTTTTGACCATTATCAAGAGTGTTTTGGGCTCTTGGTTGAAAATGTGGTGAAACATGCAACTGGTTACGCTTTGTTGTTCACCTTTTCTTTCATTTGCCACATATCGACAGTGCTGAACAAAGTTATTTCACCACCTGTGATAAAAATGAGGAGACCATTCAGCATCAATAAGTGGTTTAATATGGAATCTTTCAATTTCAGCAAGCTGATGGCATTTATCATTTTGCTTTTTATACCCAAATTTGAGTAAGTGGCTGTTTCACAAGTCAAAAATTAATCAGGAGTAACATTCAACCACGAGACTTTTTTTTTTTAAAGAATTTATTCAGCTGTGTATCTAGCTTGCTGTAAAAAAGTTAACATGTGAACACAGTTTGAGTGGGTACAGAGATGTATCACGGAAAGATGTAACACGGAAATTACAGGAACCTCCTTTTTCATTTACTTGCAAATATGTTTATGTGGCACAAACACTGAAAAAAGGCAGTGTACTGTCAATCAGGGCTTAGTTCCACTTGTTTCACAATGACAACATCCACAATAGGAGGGAACTTAATAAATATTACCAATTGCACAGAGAACCTGTAGCAATGCAGACAGATCACTTGTTGTCAGAAAAGCGCATAAAAAATGAAATGTGATTTTTGACCATCATCAAGAGTGTTTTGGGCTCTTGGGTTAAAATGTGGTGAAACATGCAACTGGTTACACTTTGTCATTCACCTTTTCTTTCATTTGCCACATATCGACAGTGCTGAACAAAGTTATTTCACCACCTGTGATAAAAATGAGGAGACCATTCAGCATCAATAAGTGGTTTAATATGGAATCTTTCAATTTCAGTAAGCTGATGGCATTTATCATTTTGCTTATTATACCCAAATTTGAGTAAGTGGCTGTTTCACAAGTCAAAAATTAATCAGGAGTAACATTCAACCACGAGACTTTTTTTTTTTTTAAAGAATTTATTAAGCTGTGTATCTAGCTTGCTGTAAAAAAGTTAACATGTGAACACAGTTTGAGTGGGTACAGAGATGTATCACGGAAAGATGTAACACGGAAATTACAGGAAGCATCTTTTTTAATTTACTTGCAAACATGTTTATGTGGCACAAACACTGAAAAAAGGCGGTGTACTGTCAATCAGGGCTTAGTTCCACTTGTTTCCATACAATACATGAAAAAAAGCAAATTGCTGACATAAGAAAAACTCAGCAAGGAGAAACACCGCATCTGCATCTGATTTCTACAAGTAAAAGTCTGCAAGCACCATTTCGTCCTATTACTTTGAGCATCAGAACGTCTTGGGTTCTTTGGGAACCACATCGGATTGTTTCTGGTGTTGCAGTAATGAATAGTAGAAGAGAATGGCAGCTACTTAACTTTTTGAAAAAAACAAGAGAATGTGACATGAAGGACAAGGGTGCTTGAGAACTCCGCAGCAATGTGGGACCTTGTCATAATTTCTGAATGACCACTTGAAACTTACCTGCAAAGAGAACAGAACAATAAATCATTTCTTTTCATTTACTGTACAACACGTCCCTTGCATTTGTCACATGAACAACAACAGTTTGGCTACCTTTAAAACACAGTGGAGCCTCTGTGTCAAAGATCTTTTTTGTTGTTGGTCACATGAATTTTTCTAATTTTGTGAAATACTCATTTTTTTTAAAGGGAAAATTTCCAGAAGTTTCCATTGTATTTTAATTTAGAGGTTCCACTGCATTCCCCATGATGCACAAAAAAAAAAAAATCGGTTGATACTTACACGATGGCATGATCGAGACCTCAGCTGTAACCACACTTTCAAGACCTAGATTTGACAAAGCTCCCCTCACCACACCACATGAAAAGGCCAAGTACTGGGTAGAACAGAAACTACAATTAGGAGTTTTGTCAATAATTTATGATGAATGACTGAGCCCCCAACACACACAATAATATAAAATATGTATTGATGTGCACTGACCTTAGGCGCTTGATCCAAGTACTGCTTACCATTCGAGAGCTGTGTCAGCAAATTAAATTTGTTATCCTGCAATACATAGGTGCCCTAAAGAAAGATACAAAGACACATAAGATGTGATACCTCATAAATCAACATCCATAAAACCATTCCATTTTATTTTCACCTGATGGTTCGTTCTTAGATTGTCCACCTGCCTCCTGAAGACTTTAGTCCAGAAGTCTTTACAAATAAATTTCATTACATCCAACTCATCCTTGAAGCAAGGAGAGTCCCTCGTCAACCTCGACAAGGCAAACAAGTATAACATATAAACACGGATTGTAAACTTTTACAAATGAAGAATAACTATCTACCTCTCAATGAGCCCTTGTCCCACTCTGTAGCCCATCCCCTCCAAAATAGAAACACGGGAGGCCCTGTCCTGTATTAAAAAGCAATATTCAGTGTGATATGCATGAATAAAAGCGACTAGAATTGTTGAAAAAAGGCAGAACAACTCTTGAATAGAATACGTTTTAATGGGTACAAACCTTGTTGTCGGTCTCTCCTTTAATGAATTGCAGATCCCTGTAAACGTGTGCCACAATCTCCATATGGAGAAATTCAAAGAGAGCGTCGTCTGCCATGACTGACAACTATGTAATGAGAAATGGAATTGAGATCATTACAGACTTGACAAAATTGGCAGTTGGTAGGAGTCCGAACTAAAATCACAGACGGAACCTAGGACAACAAGCGGCGAGCCTAGCTTAAGCTAGTTGACCCATTAGCTGTCACTGAACAGTCGCGTTCATTGCGCCTTCATTAGGTTCCTTTAACTTAAACGCAACGCCGATTAAATTGGGAAATATCGTACATTCATTTAGTGATGTTGTCTTAAATTCAACCACGACAGATTACGCGGCAAGAATAAATCGTTAAACATACTCGACAAACAGCAGTTACGAAGGTAAACAGAGACACTTCCGGGGGTTCACTCGTAATATTCACAAGGGCAGTCCAAGCTTTAACTCCGAATGGAATATGACACAATCTACACGAATTGGATGGTACAATACAGGGGTTCTACAGCAGTGAATAAATACATTTAGAATTTCCTGTTACGCCATGTCTTGGTTTTTAACAGAAGGCATTTCAGGAGTCAAGTGAGTGAGAAATATCCCCACTACTAAACCGGTGTACGCCGTAATATATTGAAGCGTACCCTTTTACCACTAGCTGACAGCCTCCAACCAAATTGGAACGCTGTTTTCCACGTGACATTCATACTGCTTTTTCATTGGACTGTAGGAACAAACTATTTCCTGTCTGCTCATGTGATCGAGAATATAGTGTTGACAATCTGAGGTTAGTTTTGTCTTCTTGTACTGTATACGTTTTGCGTTTAATTACAATAAGCGGTAGAATATGTGACCGTGCGGCAGTCGTCTGTGATACTTTAATCTAGTCAAATGAGGTGTTGTATTTTAATGTAGATGTTTGTTCTTTTGTGCACAGTCAGTGGTCATGTCCAGCAGGTACCCGATAGTGGTGCAGGGCGAGGCATCAGAAACAGACTCCGATGATGAGGTTTACATCACCTCCCTGCCAGCTCCACAGACGGCCATTGCGGGAGCCAAGGTAGTTTGGTGGTCTATGGATGTTGAAAATAACAATCTTTCCTTCAGCTCCTCATTCAGAAATCATGTTGATCCTCCAAGGTTCAAGGGGAAGCTTCTGAAACGGAGAGCGAGGATGAAGGGGAGACGGCACACCGAGGTTCTGCACTGAGTCACGAAAGTGCTCAGATACTCAAAAGAGATCTACCTCCACTTATTGTTGTGAGAGATCACCCTGATATACAATCAGTTGTGGAAGACAGACCAAGCCCTACACATAAAACTTTTGGTGAGCAACGCTAAACGTAAATACTTCATTAAATAGTCGTTGTCTTGACACGAACCAAAACAATGACTGCACAGGTTTATTGTGGATGTCCGAACCAGTTTGACGAAATGCATACTCTTTTAATCGTGTTTCACAGATTTATTGTGTTCACTTTCCAGGTGATACATTATTACAGCAGAAGTTGCAGGAGTCGAACAGCCGGCTCTATTCCGATGTGGGACAGATGGTGCGACACGTTTATGGTAGTGCCAGCAAAGAGGTACTGCAGTGCAAACCGATACACCAAGTGTCATACATGACCTGTTGCACACCATAATGGGGTCCAATACAAAAGCTTGATGAAAATCTACCTACAAAGATCATAATGTTCAGTTGTGATTGACATTGTCTGAGCAGGGTCAATTTACAAGATATGTCAGTATATTCGGGGTGTCGTGTGCAGTCAAACTGGACTGCATCATACTGACAGGTGTTTTTAATGTTTCTTTGTTCTCTTTCATGTCGCTAAACAAAGTACCGAAAATATCACCACAGCTAAACACTGGATGTGTTGTGCCATTCATTATTTACCGCTGTGAACTACAGCCACGATAACTAAAAATATTGTTCAAATAATACCCCATTAAAAATTAAGAACAGCATTGCAGAGGTAGAATTTTACAGTCATGTATTAAATTTCAATAGATTCAACTGTGTAAGTGGTCAGTGTAGTGAGTCTATTTGGCGTTTTATGAAGGTGTAGAAATCGGGATGCTTTTGTATCTTATTCAGCAACTAAATTTTCTCGTCAAAGGTGCGCAGTGCAACAGCACAGCTTAACACATCACAGAGCGCCATCATCAATGCTTCCCACAGCATCCGTCTGATTTTGGATGACCTGAAGGCCGTGTCTGAGAAGATTGACATTATCACCAGCTGTCAGATATTACCTGAGTTTAAGATGAGCCATTCAGAGGAGAAAAGCAGTCCTGCATCCTGATGAAAAGAATAACTACAGATGTTATGCATTTGAGCAAATGAAACTGTTGATCAGCTTGATTGGTTTGCTTATCTTGTTTGTAAAAGGCATATATTATTATTATTATTATTATTGTTATTATTATTTGATATGAATTGATGCTGATTGGAATATTTATTTAATAATCTACAGTAGCTCATGCATTTCTTAAACAGTAGTCAAACTTGAACTGCAGGTCTTTTTTCTGTGTACATTGTTAAATTCTGTTTTATTTTATGCATCATGCTATAACATTACCGGTATACAATGGAAACTTTAATTCATATAAACACATAACAAATGTAATTGCCGATAATCACTGTACTGTTCTATGCATCCCACCTACCTAAAAATAAATTTTTTTGAAAACGCTTCTTAGACTTAAGTAAAAATAAATGTGAGAATAGACATTATGACAGATTCATGTTATTTCAGGGTTAAAAAAAATGTGCTGTACTCATTTAAAATTTCAAATACAAGTTAAGCAGAACTATTTGTAAAGATACTGGTATGTGGCTCATAACCACAGTATAGAACTACATGTACAGTATGTTAAAGTTTGCAAAGGCTGAGGATTTTAAATTCAACAAATACACCTAAATATACAAATATTGGCTGGTAACCAGTTCAGGGTGTCCCCCGCCTACTGCCCGAAGACGGTATAGGCTCCAACACGCTCACAATGCTCATGTGGTACAGGTCGACTGTACTCTAGCCTATGCTTCCCTCGGGGCACTCCTGGGGTCAGTTCCAGCAGCCGTGCGTCCCTTGTGCGAATAAAGCGGTTCATATAATGGATGGATGCATGAATAATTTACATTATAGGTCATTTGAGGAAATTTGTCATTTCCAAGTTTCCAAATCATTAATAACCTCTGACTCACACAATCATCACCAACCTGTAAGACATTCATAGTGATGGTGTAGTGACTATTCTTCCCACATGATGGCATTACAGATACAAACATTTCAACTACAGTACTAGACTCCTTTGTTGGATGCTCTACGCTGAGAATAAGGTTTATTGAATTTACTCAATTTCATTTTCTCGAGTGCACTGAAAAAAAATGGAGTGTTGACTTAACTCCATTTTATTTTGTCAAGTGGTTGCAAAAAAAAATAAAAAATCTCATAGACTCTACATCTACTTAAAATAAATGTATAAGGATCCAGATGATTTTATTTTGTGCAACCACTTGGCAAAATAAAATGGAGTAAATGTTCTAACATTTACTTTCCAGTGTCGGTGAAATTGCTCAGCTGTCCTATTTCTATGTCAGGTCATGAATCCACACAAAGAAGCTCTAGTGACTAGAGTATAGTCCTTAACGTGTCTCCATTGTTTAGTGTCACCAAGAGTGAAGAGGCCTTGATATCTCTATGGTGACATCATGTTTATTTCGCTTTTGTAATCATCACTTTGTTCATATGTGTGTGATGGTTGGGATTTGACGCTGTCTTTCAGGAAATGATCATCATATCCCTAGTGCAGAGTGATTGCAATTGAAGAGCTGTGCTAATTAAGATCTATATCTACAAAGCGTATGGACAGAGATGTTTGGGGGGGGTGTTTCTACAAAGGCATTTCTTCAAGTAATTTGTCAATTAATGGCTATTTTAAATCCACGTGAATAAAATCCTCACATATTTATAGATCTTAGTCTATATTCAGAATCTCAGGAGAACAAAATGTCTGATACATGACCCTTCATATATGTAAATGAGCATTAAATGTTTTAAAAGTCATTCATCATGTAAGATTTCACACTTGTCAACATTTTCTTTCCATATTTGCATTTTGCAGACTTGATTACACGTCTCTCAACCCTGGTTTAAATTTGCTGCGCAGTATGTTAAGGGGACAGAAGCACAACAGAGAGGAAGTAAAAGACGCCATTAATGCATTGATCAGTTTCAATGTGATACAGATCACACGAGTAGAATGAGACCTCAGGGACACAGGATTCTGGGAGCTTAATTGGAGAGATCAGCATTTCAGCTGAAGAAGCATTTCTCATACTCCGTGGTATCTATTATCCTCCTTTTAATGAGAATCGACGACCAGCCTGTGTGTGATTATCACCCGGCAGCGCTGAATGTCTGCCAGGATTCGATCTCGACACGTGGGATTTGGATTATAGAAAAGCTACAATATACTGTAAATGAACTGATCAGAAACATGCTTCAACCTATTCGTTGAGCCTGCCAAGCAAGTCACCTTTTGGAATGGAAATGATATCATCCCATCAATAACTGATTCAATTACCAGCCACATTTTTAGGTACACTTTATTCATCTCATATGTGATTGATATAGAATAGTTACATTTGGTTACATCTGCCGATATATGTTACTGTATATGTCAATAGTGCCACTCTCATCTGTTTTTATTTGGTTGTTTTTCCTTGAACTGTTGTGCGGTTTAGAGAAAACAAAGTTGTTCGTAATTGTCAACTGTGGTCCTGTGAGGCCGTTTGGGACTCTTTTTGTGATGAAAGGCTATAGAAACACATTTGACTTGACAACAGAACTGTACCTAAAAAGTAACACTAATCCGTTGTTGTTTATAGTTGCGATGGTTTTAGTGTTTGACTGAATGTACCAGGATTTTTTTTTTTGACATGCCCCAAAAGTCGTCTCACAAGTCTCCTCCGTTAAGTAAATGGTAGTATTGTAGGTCTCAGCATCAGTTTTAGTGTTGAGACCATTTTCCGAAAAAAAAAAAAAAAAAAAAAAACCAAATGCAAGTAACAATCTGGCAATTTGGTCGAGGACGGTGCTGGAGCAGGGTACAGGTGAGAGCAATGAGGCTCCGGAGGAGGTCAAGCTGAGGCACAAAAAAATGGACTCACAGGAATTGGGTCTTCGAAACAAAAGGCCATGACAGAACACTACAATGAGAACCCATTGGAAAAAAAAAATCACATGACCGTATGTGATTATTTTTTGATCGTTCAACCCCTTTGTTGTGGAGGGCTGAATCTTTTATACACGCATTGAGAATGGACATTGATGACATGAAGATGTTGATGATGACATGATGAGACGCTGATGACATGGTCAACTAAGGTCACTAGAAATTTCCTTTGACATCTGTCGTTTTCTTTGGCCATGAACTCTACTCGACCTGGTCTACTCTTACCCAGGCCTGAGGAATTTTCAGAAATGATCAGAATCTGTTTTTTGGCTCCGTTAGATTACCCAAAGGGAAACCGCTGTAACTAATTTTGGGTTCTGTAAATGTTCATCATGGGAACCAGCACCTCCGCGACCCTTGTGAGGATAAAGCGGATCAGAAAATGGATGGATGGATGGATGGATGTTCCTCCCCCTCTGGTTCTCAGCGGTGCTCACCTGCGCTCTTTCCGTCGTACTTATTTTACCTCCTGATTGATGTGGCAACAATAAGCTACCGCGGTCTTGCACCAAGTGGCACGTATATTGGGAAATTAGCTCACGTGGTGTCATTTTGAATGGCATGGCATTTTGAATGGAAAGCTGTAGAGAACCGTATTCAGTGCATTTAAAAAGTGCCGATTTGAATGGCAAAATGTGTGTAAGGCAGAATATGTGTTTGTACTTTTGGTCCGAGAAGAGGTTTTGCCCTAAATAATTGTGCTGCAAATTGGATGAAACTGTAAGTGGAGCAAACATGCAGAAAAAAAATTGTGAATCACTGCAGACTTTCTTTCGAGGCTAAGTTGACTTCTGAGGGCATCTCCTCTTAACGCTGAACAGGCAAATAGGACATTATAAATCCGTTTACATAAAACAGATTTCCTGATTTCAGTGACAGTGGCTTGCGGCTCAAAGCTAAAAATGAGCCTCATGCTTGAGCTGGCCATCTAACGAAAGACTAAAAAGCAACTCTGCAAACTGGAAGAAGACACTGAGCAGAAAACATTAACAGCATAATGTCAGAGTTGCATAGAGGAAAGACACATGAAAGTGTGTTGCTACCCTGAATTTAACAGTGCAAATTTTGTCAGATCTATGCTTCGAAAGGCTGGTGTGTGCGTGTTGTTTGCTTGTGAGATATTGTGCGTGGTTCTGTGAGTGTGTACGTGCGTGCGGGTGTGTGGGAGAAGGGCATTCACCCACATTAGCCAGGTCATTGGCTGTCTCATGGAGTGCCTGAGGATACACTCTTAGTTTATCTGGCTGACTGAGCATGGTTGCACACAACAGCACAGGTCTTCCAAAGCAACGGTACTAGAGGGGGGGAAAAAACCCCCTCTGTGGCTAATACTGTTAGTGCATTCATGAAAGCACTGAATTAAGAAGCATCACAGAAGTAATACCTAGAAAGGTATTAGATTATATTCGCCTCATTTTTAATGTAACATTTGTAAAAATCACCTGCCTTGGTTGTGAGGTAGCCGATGATTTTTAAGGTCAAATGGAAAACAGTGAAACTGCTAAGGTCGAACAGGCTGCGTTCTAGAACACGTTGGTCAAATTGATTTTTATGAATAGAGGGATCATTTTTGAAGAAACAAGAGGTACCAGCAATGGAAAAGGCTCAATCCTCTCTGAGCGTCCGCTTAGTTCTCGGTCCGTCTAACAGTTTCTGGTCCACAGAACTGAGGCACCTGTCATGATATGTCTCCGGAAGAATCCAGATAAGAATGGATGCCACAAACGCAGACAATGGTAAGTTCATTAACAAAAATATTTATTAACAAAACGCAGGACCGACAAAGTACAATGAAAGACGCTGGTAACAAATAACCAGGAAAAAGTGAAACAAACCAAAACCGCTTGCATAAGGCAAGGCACAAAATAAATGTAAATTGCTTGTCGCTCGAAGCACAAGGAAATCCAATACACAAGATTACCAACCAAGAAATAACAAGAACTACTTATATGAAAAATAACAAATACAAAAATGTGGCTAGAAGTTAAAAGGCAAAAAGACGAGAACGTCTAGAACAGGGGTGTCCAAACTCGGCCCTCTGTGATGTTGACATTCTCTGTGATTGTTGTTATTTTATGGATAAATAAATATATATACTTTTCCGCAGTAGAATAATGTGGCAGTTTTAATCATATAATGTGGATACATAAATTTGTCTCATAATTATTATAATGCTGTTTTGGGAAAACTTGCCTTGTCTGTTTGACTTTGCCTTATTGTGTTTCCTTCTGTTCCATCTGTCCTCTCTGTACGGCAGCTTGCCAAGTAAACAGCATCACGAGCAACCCTTCTATGAATGCTGCCTAATAACAAGTGGCTACGCAAATATGTGAAGTGACCAGAAAAAAGAATATGAGCACCCGGTAGCTCCTTCGTCAGGTGTGTGGTTTAGTACAGTGCTCAATGCTCTTTTTGTTTTATTGTGAAACAAACACTTGTCAAAGCCAACTCGTCGTCATATCAAATAAATTGTCAAGATATGCATCAGATCGTTGACTATTTAACATTAAAAGTTTGTAATTGCTGTTCCATCGAATCCAACGTATTCATTTTGAAAAAAAAATATATAGATGACATAGTTTGTTTTCATACACAATATAACTTTTATTCGTGACTGAGGAAAATCATGGCCACACCTTCAACCAGTTATGAGAAATTCAGAATTATCAGGCTGAATCTCTGGCTAATTTCTTTTTTTTAATAGAATTGTAAGTATGAATTTTCTTTTTAAAAAATCAAGAACCTTCCTATTTTCCTTGTGTTTGATTTCATTAAAAGCAATATTGCCTTGCCATGCATACTGGCATTTATTTTTATCCTGCAATGACTTGCTCCTCAATATTCATCAGCAATTACACATTTCCAGCACTTTCTTATGCAGAAGCTTTTTTTCCCAGTCTCAGACAGGCTTAGTCCAAGATGCCCTCTCAGGCTGAAAATCAATTCATGGAATGCATCATCAAAAAATGTGAAAATTTAATTTTATCCTCGCTGACAGGCTCAGACTCCGAATCAACATTTCTGAATACAGATGCAGAATGTAGAAACAGTATAATGCTAATACTTCAGTCTTGCGCATGCAGTCCAAGGTGTGCGCTGTTGTTTTTCCTGTGGTAACAAACGCGCTTTAAAAATAGGCACCAATATGAACACACAAAAACATTATTTTACATTGAAAGTGTGTGTGTGTGTGTGTGTGTGTGTGTGTGTGTGTGTGTGTGTGTGTGTGTGTGTGTGTGTGTGTGTGTACATTGATGGGGTGGCTGGGTGTCTGTGGGCACAGCAGATGGCCTGGACCTGTCCTCTGGGCTTTCCTCTTTTATCAACTTTGAGTCTGTAATGTTAAAAATGTTCTCAACCAAATTTGACCAAAAAAATTTAACCTGAAATCCATGCAGAAAATAAGAGTAATATACTTCAATTGCAGACCTGGAAACAATGAGTGAGAGTCATTAAAAAATAATAATAAATCATTAAGTATCAGAGAAATGTTCATAAATAATTCTGAATATTTTGGTCATGTAATTATTGGTAACAAGAGCATCACAGCAATTGCTGTTATTTTATTGTTCTTCTTCAAAGCTTGTGAGAGGTCTTCAGAATTAACCATGGCTTAATCATCCATCACTCAAAGTAGTAGGGATAAACATTGACATTTTTGAATGTGAAAATGCTCAGGATCACAAGGAAAATATTTAATTTCGAAAAAATATACATATACATATTTTTTAGTCTTTAAAAAGTCACATTGGTAAGAGCTTGGCTTTTGCTGGTTAAATACTTTATGTATTAGCTTTTCACAATTCAAGAGGACTGTTTTTGTGAGATATGATACAATCCAGTGGCTTTACTGTTGCAACTTTAATTTGTTAGTATGTAGATGTTTGCATCCTAATGCTCTTGTTTTCATCTTACACGTATGACGATAGCAATGTAGCAAACAGTCAAACAAATGTAGAACATAAAATAACACAGTGGACTACGAAAAATGGACCCCTCGGGAATAATGAATAAGCGTTAAAATGTCAACATGATAATTGTCAAGTTATGATCCTACTCAGGATGTTAACATCATCGCTCTTTGCAAATGTGCATCATCAAAAGATGACTCCATTGATTGCTGCTTTGGTCTGGTGGCTGCACAGCTAGCTACTTGCGGCTAAACTACGAGCGCTACAGTGGCCGTTTGCGCATTTTCATACGTTCCACATTCTCACTTGAGACGGTACTTGTCGAAATGATTCAACTGGATTGGTGGCTTGCCCGTTTTTGAGGACATACCTTGCACAACCTACTCAACGTCACATTTGGAGGTGCCATCAAAGAACGATGGCGAGCAACTTCTCTTGTCAAAATAAAATAAAACTCATTTTTGGAAAATAACGTCAAGTCATGTCTGCCCATCAGCTGTGCTTTCAGCTGCACTGTTGTTTGCCGTTTATTATTACTTTAGCTTTACTTCATTTATGCTTATCTCTTTTGCTTGAAAAACTAAGAGTAAAGGCTTAATCATGTCATCAGAAAAGGAATAACTGTTAATTTGTCTAGCCCTGGCCATAACTTTCAGGTTGCGTCTGTGACTCATAGTGAGCTTGCCCTCAAGATTTAGATATACAGATAGCAATATAAAAAAGGGATGTGCTTTGCTGCAGTTACATCTGGGTCCAGTTGGTATTATGTCTTCTCTGGTTTTAGCTTGCTGGTAGAGGAGCGAATGATGAGGATCAGATGAAGATTCAGACCTGTCCTTCCTGCTTTCTCGGCGTGTGCATTTTCTCCTCCCTTCATTGCACAGTACCCCAAATAATATCCACAATGGCATCCACCTTCAGTGGAAAAGCTGTAACTGGCAGCTAGTTGTGGTGACAAACCATTGCGCGGATGCTTCAGGCCCTCTTTTTTTCAGAGAATCCTCACTGGTTCCTCTCATTTCCTTTGCAAACATTCTGCACCTTTAAGTCGTGTTGCAGAATCACACGATCTTGATTTGGGTGACATTGTTTCATTTTCAAACGCTCCCACCGCTGGCAGTCCTCCGTGACTGCCTTCGAGCTCCAAACAAAGAGGCATGGCAACAGGAAATAAACCATTATTCTCTGACACTGAGCATCCGTAGTGGGATCTTTGCTCTTACGATGAGGCGCTGCGCACGGTGACTTGTCAACAACCTCTTGTTCCATCTTGCTGTGTTTTATAATTTGAACATGAACAGGCATATAGTGCAAAAAAAAAAACAAAACATGAATTCAGTTACATCTGTCAACTTGTTTCGAGCATCGCTAAGGTCACGGCGAAGCAAGCGTAAGCAAACGTGTCGTGATGTTCCTCTCGATTTTTGCGATTCAACCTGAAGGGTGCAAAACTTCAGTCAAAATGTCCGATACATATCGAGGATATGAATACCTAATTTTCAGATACATATAATGCAGATATGAAATCCAGTATTTGCTCAAGTATATATACACGTTTACAGGAAATATGCCTTGTGCACAGGAATCACATGTGCTAATAGTGTGTTTTGAATAAGCAGTTTCTCAAATGGATGTGTATATGTAGACAAAGGCGAGCAGCAAGAGATTGAGCATGATGCCGATGACCCCGAGCACTGCCAGAAATCTCTCCTCTGGCGTGCTCAGGTGTGGACACGTTAGATCCATGGAAATGTTTGGGTTTTTTGAATGCCGCTCACGACAGCAACTGACATGCGTTCATTTACAACTTTGAAGGCGAGGCACAAAGGTCCGTCCGTCGATAGTTCTTAGCGGCCGTTTAGTTAGTCAGCTTCCATCTGTTTGGTTCGTCTGGGTGAATATTCATCTGGCAGTGAAACAAAAGCTCACCGTATGAACACAAACACTCACATGAGCTACTTTTTACTCGTCTCGTGTGGAAAAAAAACAGCACAGTAAAACCCACCATTGGATCAAATCCCAATTTCATAGAAATGCCGAGTCATGACTACGACGGGAAGTCAGTGTCAGCAATGAGGCTGTCTCGAGATGACAAGTTCGATATGCGAAGGAAGATGCCTCGTGGAACACCTCGCTGTCGTGACATTTGGCAGTAGTCTTCAGTAACTCGGGAAGGACTTTTCTTCCAGCCGTGAATTGATACACTCACAGTTGGCCACAATTCAGCTGTACACACTGCCAAGGATCCTTCTGTCGTAGCGCATCATGATCTAACCCTCCAAGCACATCAATACTTGAAGAGAAGTACGGCGGAAGGGACGTCGGGTGGACACCGGTCGTTCTTGTTCAAATCTGTCTGAAGGTTTTAAGTGACAGAGGTGTAGATGTAGACGAATATGACCACTAAAAGATTGAGAACGGTCCCGATGATGCCCAGCACAGCTAAAATTCGCTCCTCTCGATCGTTCGTTGAGTCGTCCTCTCTTGCGTGACTGCTGCAGATATAGTGGCTGCCGGTGATCATGGTTACCATCACAGAACGCCACCGCCACTGGGCGCCACGCCTGGATAAGACATAGCAAACATGCAGCTGAGAAATGTATTCAGATGCAATTATTTAGTTCATGTCTAAAAGTGGCAGACAGTCCTATGTTGCAAACTCTCATTCACGCACACGAGCATATTTTTGCCGTCTCAGGACTTTTCCCGCAAAGTATTTCTTGAAAACAAGTGACTGCTTTCGACAGCTTTCAGCACAAGGTGCGGTAATCCGTTTTGCTCACAGGCATCACTGTGTTGTGACATGTGTACCTTTAAGTATTTAAAATCGCTCAGATGTAAAGACTCATGCCCAAAAGTAGACATGAGTGCATATTTTCACGGGCCAATAAAAACCTGATACTTGAAATTCTTTTGACTGGTTAATAAAATGACCTGATCTGCGATCTGCTGTATACAGTAGAATCTTCAGCGTACATAGTTAAACGAGTGAAAACAAGGGTCCTCACAAGGGTCGCACGTGTGCTGGAGCCGAACCCAGCTAACCTGGGCAAGCGGCGGGGTACACCCTCAACTGATCGCCGGCCAATCGCAGGGCACAAAAAAATGTTTCACGATTGTGCGTACGGTGAATACGATGTAGCCATAGCAATCTGTTTTAGACTTTCCCCGTCACTTTATTTTATTGAACCAAGTGTCGAGGTCGGATAAAACCAAAATATTTTGAGTCGAAAATTGCAAAATTGCACATTATGAATGAAGTTGATTTCAATGTAAATTATCAGTGCAACACTTTGATGACGTTGTGAGCTTTATGCAAACCAATAATTTTACTCTCACAGCCACGCCAAGATGTATGTAACAACCAATCCGTTTCATGACATTACCGGTACATTCATTCCAAAAAGGACAAGCCCGCGAAAACATTTCACAAGTATGAAACATAATTTGGTTTGTGGTTTTATGAAATACTTAGATGTGAAAAAAATAAAATAAACTGTCAAACTTTTTGCTACTACACCGCTTATTCTCACTATTGTCTCGGGCTGCAACTAACGATTACTTTAAGAATCGATTAATATGATGATTATTTTGTCGATTAATGGCGGAATTTTTTTTTTTTTTATTAATTTCCATCCCGTTATTTAAAAAAGACTGGACGTTATTTCCTGTTGACGTTGCAGAAAATGTGCAAAACTTATAATTGATGAAGTTCTTGGTTTGGTCCATAACATTTTGATCATTGTATTCCAATGTAAATGCAGATGCTTGCAAATTCAAATATTTGTATTATTTTGAAAACAAAAAAAACATGTTCAGGATGATCAGTATTCATTCATGGAGGACTATAGAAATCTGAGAATATTTACTCTTGAGAGGCAGAAATTGAGGGGTTACGAACAACTGTAAATGAAACAAGCTCTCGAAACGATCACTTATCACTTATCAATATCCATATCGATCAACTTGAGCATTGATTCGTCATTGCACTTCTACTAGGGGCACAGTTGAGCTGGAGCGTACCCTCGATGTCTTTGGGGAAGAGCTTCAAACTCCACATTGAAAGACGGGAACCCCGGATTTGAACCCCCAACCTGAAGTGGAGCTCAGAAGCGTATGTGCGAACCACTTGTCCTCTGTGCCGCCCACAATGTCTCGAAATGCAGTTTCCTTTTTATGTGTTTCTGAGTGACTTTAAATTGCCCTTAGCTGTGTGAGTGAATGTAAATGGGTGTCTGTCGATGTGATTGACGGGTAATCTGTCTTGGGTGTCACACGCCTCAAGCCTTCGACTGGGATAGGCTGTAGTCCCCCAATCTCCTGCACGGGATAAACGGTATGAAGGAGAGATTCACGGAAGGGTGGATAGATTTCAATCAAAACCTCCAGCCTTGGAAACATTCTTATATTCCATTGCTCTCTTTTCTTTCTCTCCTTTTTCCTCCGTCACTAAGCCTTTGGGGTGATGGGAGATCGGTTTTGCATCTGTTCAAGAAATTAACAGAACTGGATTGTGATGAGAGAATCGTGTAGGTTTTCGGAGATAGTTTAGGTGTGAAAGGGAGGAAAGGAGATTTAAGAGCATAAAGTGAGAACATGTGCGTGCGTGTCAGCTGAGACGAGAATGACTGCTTGGCACAGAAAGGCAGTCTCTATTGAGCTGCTCCATCAGTTCAATTGCCTCGCCCGGTTCTGTCAATCATTCAGCGACTACCGATATGCTTATTGACGAATACAAACTTTTTTCGGACCGTGTGTACGATTACAAGGCAAGTCAGATTCCTGCTGTTATGCAAATACAAAGCTATCAAGCTCAAACACGTCAACATGTTACACGAAATGATGCTCCAGACACACACACACACACACACACACACACACACACACACACACACACACACACACACACACATACACACAAATGATATTTAAATTAGAAATTACAGCGACCCACCTTCGTTTCCAATGAGTGCAGGGAGACTTTTATTTATTGAGTGCCTTCTCTGATCTCCTCCGTTTACTCAGACAGAAGTAGTAAGTTGTTTACTCAGTTGTTCCTTCCCTTCTCACTTTAGGCTTTTAATAGCTAGCCACCAGTGTCAGGTTCAGGAACTGATCCAGTTTTCTCTTTGGGTCAGAGGCAACACTCGCCAGCACCTTCCTGGTTCATAATTATCATTTGTCCATACTTTGGAATATTTTAAATAAAAATAACATTTCGCACTATGAATTCATTTTGAAGATTACATCATGCATGTGCATAAATTATACTTTCATGAAAAACACCACGCAGTTGATTAGTGGCTTTTCATTTTCTTTCAACGCTTTTGATTAACATTGCAAAACATTAGACTGCCTTGTGGTAACCTTTCAGCATAGCTGTTGCACAGACACTTATTTGAAATGTAAAGACCAACTTTGAATGTTTGGTTAATTTATGTTTGGTACACTTAAAATGATTTAGTGAGATTGCTGAAGGACGATCCAAATTTCAGCATAACACAAGCCTCAATATTCAACAGCTGAACATTTCTCTTTTTGTTTTTCTTCACTCAAAGGTGCTTTTACAGTACAGTTCCCTCACTGTAGCCTGATTCCTTTGCTCGGCTTGTAACTTTGACACGATTGCAACTGGTTTCTTTCGACTTTCTTCACACAGTCAAATCAAGGCGAACCAAGATGTGCAGGGGGTTAAAACGGAGCAAAGGTGTGGAGTAAAGACAAGGGAAAAAAAGCATTGTCTTTTGATGCAGTTCAGTCACTCAGCAGTGTAATTGAATTATTTCCAACCCAATTACAAAATGTGCAGCGCACGCCTTAAAAGTCATCGGAAGAAGGAGTTCATTGATTAAAAAAAGGAAAAAAAAATCAGAGAAAATTGTCAGGAGTGATATAAAGCATCAGCAATAGCATTGTACCTTGATAGAAACACTTCGTGTGTGTGTGTGTGTGTGTGTGTGTGTGTGTGTGTGTGTGTGTGTGTATGTGTATGCATGTTTATTAAATACAGTATGTGTAAAATGGGGTGAGTCAATGCACTTACTTCCAAATGATTAATTGCAAAGATGTTTAGCCCGCTACTCCAAATAAATCATTCTCAATAAATTCTTTTCCAAGAACGAGCTCTCAGTCATGTTGTACACTACCTCATCCCGCTCCACCGCCCTCCCTCTTCAAGATCACACGTCTTAATGAGCTGAAGCTGCTCAAGCATGAAGTCAACTCAAGTTAATATTTGAATGCAAGCCTTCCATTTCACAATTGTAACATATTAATTACCATGTCATTAAAGCACAGCTATACACAACAGACAGAAGACAACTAGAATGCGACGGTCCTATTAATGTTTTGGGGATGATCGGTTCTGCTTTAAATGGCTATTATCTGAAACACTGGCACATTTCAAGGTAAAGGAATCTCAAATACCCAATTTATGCTGACAGACGAACCGTGCAACAAAGAAAAAAAAATGCTCTTGCTATTCATTGTGAACACATTTACTTTGTGAAGGAAACCAGATATCTTCCACGTGAGGTGGGAACTCATATCCTCTCCGGGAGAGCCAGCCGTCCTCAGAGAGCGGTGGCCTATTTTGGGGAGTTGCTGACACCAATCATATTTCAATGGGATGAGGAAGACCACACATGCGCCTTCTCATCTCCAATTAAGAGAATGTTTTCATGAACTCCCCAAACTAGTGACCTTGTGACAATTGATTGTCCTAACACCGACTGGGAATATGTTGGAAGTGATGCTGAGCATACAGACACGGCTCTCTTCTTAATTAAAGAGTATGACAATAGCTTATTCCAGTATCTACATCAGTCATGCACCCTTATCAGCCTATGACAATGAGATATTTCCAGCAACTACACTGAAAAAAAATATTTCATCAAGTGGTTGCACAAAATCAAATCATCTGGATCCCCATACATTTTTTTACATAGTTGTATAAGCTACTTAAAAAATGTATCGGGATCCACATGATTTGATTTCATGCAAATACTTGTATACAGATGGGGTAATGAACTGCCTGTGTGTGCATATATATATATATATATATATATATATATGCACAGAGACACACACAGGGAAGGTCCAGCCTTAGCCTCGGGGGCTGCTCCGGTTGGATTCATCATGATGCTAGCGTCATCATCGTAAGCCATCGCTACAGAGTGGTCGTATATCCAACGCGGGATCTCTGGTACTGAAAACGGATGTCTACAACTGGCTGAGGTGTGTTTTATTTCTCAGGGAAACTTGGTTTAACCTGAAGAAATTTGATGCTAGAATGCAGCTAAAAACTGCGAGGCACATGCGCAGACCAACTAACCTGATTTTGACGCTCTGTAAGTCATTCAAATTAAAGAGGAAAGTCTGAAATTAAAGCTCAATTTGTTTGTTTCAGTTGAAATCCAGCGTGACGGTCGTTAGAGTTAAAAAGCGGACTACTGCGTGCGTTCATGTCCCATGAATGAAGAGATGAAGATGTTTACGCAGGAGCTGAGCTCATTCCCTCATAATTATCATCAGGTAGAGAGTAACAATACACATAATCATTACTCAGCGTGATCGATTACAGAAAGTCATCAAAGCAAACTTTTAAACCTTTTGTGCTTTGCCGCATTACAATAACGTTCAGTCCGCGCAGGAATCAATGATCCGCTGACAAAACGCATAACGACTGCTTTTGATTGTTTTCGTTTCAGATGCATCCACATACCAAATAGGGCATCCATACATATAAGAAGAAAAGCAACATTTTATTTGCAGTGTCTTCTTATCTTCTCGTTGGGCAGCTACAATGACGCAGAGAGTGATGGTGTGGGGACCGTCTCCATATGACACTTTGAACGTTCCGCAGCCTCATTATGAGCACGTCAAGCCAACGCTGCTAGAGTACGAGGCCAGCGGCCATGAAGAGACTGTCACTTCTCCTCAACCACAGCTCAGCTCCCCTCGCCCCCCCATTGTGTGTGTGTGTGTGTGTGTGTGTATGCGTATGTTGTTACAGTGTGAGTCTGCAAGAGTTCATGAGAGGATGAACAAGAATGACAGAGTGAATGTACATACCGTATATAAACTGTATGGTTTCAGCAAAGGGAAGAGATCACGTATCGACCGTATTTGAGGGATGAGGTGTTTATTTTCAACCGGTCCATTGCTACCAGTTCTTCTAGCTGAAGAACGAGAAACTCGTAACTTCAACATCTTTGATGAGCCCAAATTGACCGAATAGACACAAAGTCCAAGGGGCAATTACGTTAATGACACAATGGATTTAAACACATCGCCTGGAACAACTGTAATGCTAAAAGCCACTGTGGCCATCTTTCAAGAATAGTACGTGTCCGTGTGTCGAGTTGCTACGTTGTTGGGAAAGTGAAACCAACAATACGCTGGCACCTTTGTTATAGCCGGTGTTGCGATGTGATATATCAGGTACACACCGATGACAATGAATAGCTACACCTCCATTGAGATCGCTACCACTGGAGCGCTAACAATGTAAAATGATTCCATTTCTTTTAACCACATTTTAATCACGCGCCATGGATGTACATGTTCGAATTAAGTAATTCCAAAGAACTATTTTTTTTTTTTTTTGGGTGGACCTCATACTGAGAAGTGTTTTCAATATTTTGTCTGCTTTATTTAGTGAACAGTGATCGGAAAAATATTACAATTGCCTCTGAGCAGGATGGACAGCTGTGCGCTGCAACAAGCCACAACATCAGTTGTGAATTAATGTAACCTTTCTGGCAGCAATCAGCATGTGATACACACACACACACACAAACGTGTACTCACCACACATTGCACCTGGGGCAAACAGAAACTCTTTTCTTTCTTCTGTTTACCCGAGCATGATGTCAATTTTTTCCCATCCTTTCGCCTGTTGGTTTCTTTCTCCTTCCTATTCTCTTCTTCCCAGTGCCCCCGCTCACCACCGCTGTTCAAGTCCCGCTCTGTTGCTAGTAGGCACAATCCAGGCAACACATGCAGCTCTGAGTGACTTTGGGGCAGGGTGGGCAGCGTGGGGGGGGGGGGGGTTCAGACACAGCTGGCTTCAAAGCTTGGCTGGCACACGCAGGTCTACACCGTCATTCAAAGCATGTTTAGCAGAGATCTTCGATAGTCCTTGCACCAACGTTCACAAACACCAAGCTGGTCTTTTCACGGCTTCGGGATGAGCGACAGTTTGCTGTCCTGCTTTCTTGTTTGAGGAATTAGATATGGTCAGAGCCTTGATGACAGAAAGACCCATCAAAACTGAAAGTGATCCATCATGAGTGATTATTCAGTCACGGAAGAAGGAAAAAAAAGCGACATTTTAAATCCTCTGGTTGATGTGCGTCAAAAAAAAAAAAAAGTGCTGTGCTTCCTAAAGCTTGATAAGCAGTCCAACTCTGGGTAGATTTCGAAAATCAGCCCATTTTTCAGAGCAAGTCAGAAAGGTTATGGTCAGTTCAAGAAGAAATGGAAAAATTAGGTATCTGCCAGCAATTGGTAACTCCAAGTTGATTTCAAAGCAGTTAATACAAAATGCGGTTGTCTTTGTAAGCCAAGAATAGATTCAACTCAATATAGAATAGATATGGCTCCAGTCTCCATGTAAGTTTAATGATCTCCCAAATGTGTATTTCCTCCCTCTTGATAGTCACAGCTTCAGGTCTTCTGCCAGTCGTCATTCCCCTCTCCTCATGCCTGGCCGAACCCCCCCAGGAAGCCGCATCACGGCGAGCGCGACGTGGGCCCGTCTGAATTTGCTGCAAGATGTCACCATAACCTGACACACTTGCCAACTTGTCTCGTGTAAAAATCCCACATGATGAAAGCAGTTTTCTTTTCCCTCTGTGGAGGAGGACGCAAGTTGTTTTCAGAGTGGCCCGTCAGCATGAATATTTAACCGGAATCTCTTGCTGTGTCGTTGTCACAGTTCAAGTTTCAGCGCTGTCCTCGAATCCAGCGTGACGGTCGTTAGAGTTAAAAAGCGGACTACTGCGTGCGTTCATGTCCCATGAATGAAGAGATGAAGATGTTTACGCAGGAGCTGAGCTCATTCCCTCATAATTATCATCAGGTAGAGAGTAACAATACACATAATCATTACTCAGCGTGATCGATTACAGAAAGTCATCAAAGCAAACTTTTAAACCTTTTGTGCTTTGCCGCATTACAATAACGTTCAGTCCGCGCAGGAATCAATGATCCGCTGACAAAACGCATAACGACTGCTTTTGATTGTTTTCGTTTCAGATGCATCCACATACCAAATAGGGCATCCATACATATAAGAAGAAAAGCAACATTTTATTTGCAGTGTCTTCTTATCTTCTCGTTGGGCAGCTACAATGACGCAGAGAGTGATGGTGTGGGGACCGTCTCCATATGACACTTTGAACGTTCCGCAGCCTCATTATGAGCACGTCAAGCCAACGCTGCTAGAGTACGAGGCCAGCGGCCATGAAGAGACTGTCACTTCTCCTCAACCACAGCTCAGCTCCCCTCGCCCCCCCATTGTGTGTGTGTGTGTGTGTGTGTGTATGCGTATGTTGTTACAGTGTGAGTCTGCAAGAGTTCATGAGAGGATGAACAAGAATGACAGAGTGAATGTACATACCGTATATAAACTGTATGGTTTCAGCAAAGGGAAGAGATCACGTATCGACCGTATTTGAGGGATGAGGTGTTTATTTTCAACCGGTCCATTGCTACCAGTTCTTCTAGCTGAAGAACGAGAAACTCGTAACTTCAACATCTTTGATGAGCCCAAATTGACCGAATAGACACAAAGTCCAAGGGGCAATTACGTTAATGACACAATGGATTTAAACACATCGCCTGGAACAACTGTAATGCTAAAAGCCACTGTGGCCATCTTTCAAGAATAGTACGTGTCCGTGTGTCGAGTTGCTACGTTGTTGGGAAAGTGAAACCAACAATACGCTGGCACCTTTGTTATAGCCGGTGTTGCGATGTGATATATCAGGTACACACCGATGACAATGAATAGCTACACCTCCATTGAGATCGCTACCACTGGAGCGCTAACAATGTAAAATGATTCCATTTCTTTTAACCACATTTTAATCACGCGCCATGGATGTACATGTTCGAATTAAGTAATTCCAAAGAACTATTTTTTTTTTTTTTTGGGTGGCCT